GGGGGGGGACCGGACCATCAATCGCGCGAGGTCACGTGGTGTCACGCTAATCAGGATGAAAAAGGCGCGCGATAAAGACTCGTTTGAAAAGGTGATGAGGCTGCGCACACGTGTCCCTACCACACATTTCTACGACACCGAAGCGGCGTGATTTTCAGATAAAGCTCTGAAAGGAATTCTTTAATTTCTTATTTATTTTGTTGTCTGAGTGCGGGGTCTCAGCGATAAAGACGGGAAAATACGGATCGACAATTTTGCCGAGAAGATAAGACATTATTGTCAGTAAGAAAATAACGTCGGCAAACAAAACCGGGTGTCGAACAAACGAATGCTAAGTCTCGGTTTTGCTTTGCAATTCCATGGACAGTGGGCAGCGATATACTCGCGGTGCGCGGCTTGGCTCACCGTGAGGCTCACCGTAAGGCTCACCATGAGGCTCGCACCGCGAAGCTCACCGCACCGGGTCAGGAAGGGTAACGCAAAGACACGCGGACGGGACGGGACGACACGCCAAAGGCGAGCCGAAGGCCCCGACCGACAAGGAGATAACTCAAGGTCGTCCATTTATCCTTTTATCCAGCCAGTCATTTCCTCTCCGCTCTCTTCTCCGCGGCGGCAGTGAGCAGCGCCCTTACCCACCAGGCGTCCGCCAGCGAGGTGTACTGTACAGTACACCGCGCACAAAATACAACTACTTATAAATATTCCCTCGAAGTTGAACTTAGCAAAGAAAATAATAATGTTATTATTCACTGATAAGAAAAATGTGATACTGACACGCACATAATATTGTTCAACGCAGTTTAACGCCATAGTGCACGCGTTAAGATGTTCGACTGGAAATATGAAGAGTTGAGGGTGTTCAACTTATACATGACAATGAAGGAAATTTGGCAATGAAAAGTAACGAGAGAGATAAAGAATATGCTCATTGCTCGCCACGCAAACACTAATACCTGCGCGAAATCGGGGCACCCGCCGCCTTTTAACCAAAAGCAGCGACGCGGCGGCGGCGAGCAAACAATAAAAACACAAAAACAAAATACAGCAGTAGCAGCGCAGTTATCATGTTGTCAGGCACGTCCACTCGTCCACACTCTCCTCTCCTCTTTCTGATGCAAATCGAGGCGGATCGCCGCGCGGCGGATTGCAATCGGAAGGCGCTTGAGCCGGAGAATAAATGACGAGAGCCTCAACACGTCTGCCAGGCTGCACACGCCGTGTGTGAGACGAGACACGAGTGTGCAAAAACCAAGGCGCTTAAGGCGATGAGGAACTGAGGAACTTAGGAACAGAAGTTTTGTGCTGCAACAAGTTTGCACCCAGAAAACTTAATTTTGGTGTTTTTAAGGATCTTAAATTTCCGATGTAAATGATTTCACTTTTACTCTCTTTTACCCGTATTATGTCTCGTACATTAATCATGAAATAAGAAAGTCTTTTTCAAAATTTTAAGTCTTTGCACTAGATTTGAGAGAAAGTACGTCCATTCTCACCGTCACGAAGCAGACGAAGCAGCGTCTCATAGCGCCTGCAGGTAGGCAACATATGGCCTGCAGTGCATGCGTGCCTTGCGGGGAAGCCTACCTCGAGTCTCGCAGGCGCTGAGCTCCCGTAATTCAGGCGCGGTTTTAAGGGGGCGAAGGGGTGACCGCCCCCACCCCCCCCCTAGGGTAGGTGGGCAATTTGTCCGACAAAACCCTTGAAAGTAGGCAACCCATAGCAAATCTCCCCTCCGTCAGACAGACTTAAAACTGAGCCTGCCGTAATTTGCTGAATTATTCTGAGAAATACTGAGGTCTAGACGATACCCTTTTTAGCAAGGGTCTAAGCGATGCCACATGCCACACCAGGTTTTAATTACTGTAAAACACTCAAGATATAAGATCAACATGGGTAGGTCCCATTCATTAAGTGATGCCACCTGTGCTACGGTTCACAATACAGTGCAGTGTGGCGGGTTTACCTACATGATCTGCCCATAAGGCGCTACAGCCCCCTCGGTATGCAAACCCGCAACACTGGGGAGTATTAGCTTTTACACTCGGTATATGATGAATTGTTAACATTCTTTCAGAAACAGTACTGTTTGGCTGTTAAAAACAATTGTCAACGTTTTTGGAAGTCTCCAGTGTTTTGAGGAGATCTCCTGCTCCTGGTTCGACGACGCACGTGTGGCTCGAGAAGCTACCATTGTGCTTTCAAACAGAGAAGAAAGGCAAAGCAAACAAGAATTAAAAAACAAAACAGACACGTCCGCTATCGCACCTCGTCCACGTTAAGTCTCGCGCCAAGTTGAACTGCGTCGTACCAGACGCCTCTTATTTTCAGCGAGGCGTGTGGCACGGCGCACGTGTGTGTGTGTGTATGTGGAATAAGGAACAGAGAGAGGGAGAGAGCGAGCCTTGTGGCCACTAAATATACTCCGCGGCGTTAAGGGATAAAGTGATTTTTTGAGAAACTGCCTCGCCCGCACCCTTCGTAGCGCGCCTCTAACAAGGAGACTTACGGATTAAGGAGGTGTAAATTCCCGATTTTGCTCAAACCCGGAATATGCGCATCTCCATCAAGCAGATGGCGATTGCCGGTCAATTCTTGTGCTAAGTAATACATACCCCCGGATCCCCGCCCCGTGGCCCGTGGTGTGTACACTCAGAAAACCGTACGAGAACCGACACTTTAAGCCTAGGCCACGATTGGTCAGCCTCATCCCTCAGCCTCTGGCCGGCTAGAGCAGAGGGTCTGTGTCCACCAGAATGATAATCAGAATGAGGATGGCGACGCGAATCGCGAGGGGAGGCA